TGCCGCAACTAAGAGTTCATGCACCGCAGCTAAAGATCCCACGTGCCGCAACTAAGACCCGGCGCAGCCACAAAAAAAAAAAGGTAAAGGATCGGTCAAAAAATGATAGCACAGCCACATGGCTGCATATCACGCGACTGCTAAAATGTTTTCTTGAAAATCGTTTGAGGACATGGTAAAATTATCATAAGTGAAAACATGGATGTTACAATGGATATTACAACGTTTACACTGTATATGGTCTCAACTCTGTAATGAAAATACATGCATATTTTTTTAAAAAGTCTGCTGGGAAATTAATGCAAGGGAATAGTGATTCTAGCTACACGGTAGGAATCAATCCTCTAAGCTTTTCTGCTGTTTGTCTTTCCCAATGACTTTCCACAATGACTATGCATTCTTTCATAGCCAGGAAAAACGATCGACATATGTTATGGAGAGAACAGCACTGACAATAAGAAAGGCACGAACTCAGCATTCTGTTGAGCCTGCTTTGGAAGCTACTGCTCTCCGCCCCCGAGCCTACAGCTGGGGCTTCTCAGCAAGGCGACCTTCCCAGAGAAGCAATGATTGCCTTTGGTTCAAAGTCAGTCCAGCGAGGATGTCGGGTCTGCTTGGCCACCCTGGGGACCAGGAGACAAGCGCTCCATGTTCCTGCCTTTTCGGGGGACTATGGGCTCCCAGACCCAGAGCCTGGTCCATTCATTCACCCAAGAACATGCTGGCGCTCTGGGGGGCCCAGCCCCACAAATACAAAGAGGGAAGCCACAAGGGGCTCAGAGTTGGTCAAGAGATGGACCAGGAGACAGTGTGGGGAGTAGCAGGGCCAAGGTACACGTGTGCGGTGGGGATCACAGGAGGGCCTGGCCCTGCCCGTGGGAGGCAGGGGAGGGGGTGGGCTCAGGGCTGGGCTCCTGGCAGCCGAGAGGCAAATGCAGGGACAGAAAGGCGTGAACGCACGAGGCCTGAGACGGGAGCTGAAAGCCATTCACTGTGGCTGTTTGTGGAGCATGAGGTCCTGGTGTCGGGTGGGCAGGGGTCCTGCTCATCACGCTAAGGGGTTTGGATTTTATCCTCAAGGCAGTAGAGAGCCACTGAAAGATTTTAAGTCGGGAAGAGACCCGCTGATGTAGCCTTCGATACTCACTCTGGGTACAGGGTAGAAAGTGCACGGAGAGGGCAAGACGAGAAGTCAAGGTGCCAGTTAGGGGCTGTTTGTGGTGATCGAGACAAGAATTAACACGGGCTCAGACGAAAATGCGGGTTCAAACCAAGATGGAGAAGACAAAGCAGATGTGAGGAGCATTAAGGCGGGAGAATCAAGAGGACCTGGTAACCTCCTAGGTACCTGGGGAAGACAGGAGTCAGTGGCTGGTCCCCAGGACACTGGATTCATGGGGTGGCACATCCTCACGACAGAGAATACAGGCGGGAGCACAGACCCCGGGGCGGGGAGAGGTTACGACCCTGAACGTGCTGAATGTGGGGCGTGTGCGGCCAGACGGCCAGTAGAGAGCGCGCATCAAGCTGGGGGTCAGCAGGAGGTCTGGGCTGAGGGGGTGTATTTGGAAGGCATCGACCAGAGCTCTGTTGGGAGTCACGGGAGTGATGTGACCTCCCAGGGAGAGCGTGTGACACTGAGAGGAGAGGACAAAATATGGAGAACACCAGCATGACCATGGTGAGGGGAAAGGAGGCACTGGGGGGGCGGGGGTTGGGAGGCAGTGAGCAGAGAGAAGCAGAAAATGGGGGAGGGGGGAGATAGAGGGGGGTCTCATGGAAGACAAGGGAGGGAAAGGAGGGCTTCCAGAAGGAGGCTTTCGAGGGTGGTCTTGGAACAGCACAGCCCAGGCAGGTCTACCCGCTGTCCAGTGCAGTACTGGGGGGCCTCTGGGGCCCTCTCCTGGAACCATTTGGTGAGGCGCTATGGTGCAGGCCCGTGCACCAGGGTCTCCAGCACCTACCTGGACCCAGCAGACACTGAACACGTGTTCACGGAGGGAAGTATGGGATGGGGGGCGGCCGGGAGGCGTGGGCTGAGGGATGCCCAGCTTGCTGCTCTCCTACCTGGGTCTGGGGAGGGCAAGCAGTGCTCCCGGTACCAGACCCCTCCAGCCCCAGAGGGGAAGCATGTGCGGGTCCAAGGTGGTGGGCAGGACTCCGGGATGGATGGCCAAGCGCTGACCCATTGGTGGGGCGGCCTCAGGCCCCCTACTGAGGGCAGCTGGAACAGCATAGGTCAGAGCTGCGTGAGCCGGCGGAGCAGCGCACAGGCATTTGCTGAGAGACAGTGCCGCCTAGTGGCAGGAGGTGCTCACACCAGGCTTCTACGGGACGGTCCCGCCCATCACCCCGAATGCTCCTAGGCCTTTCTGGGCCTTTCATGCTGGGGTCCTGAGCACTGGAAGCAATGATCCAGGGTTCTTGCCACCTGGGTGGCACCTGAGACTCTGACAGCAACATGCCCTGTGGCATCAGCTGAGGTCGGCTCTGACAACGGGGAAGGTGGGCAGGCTAGAATTTTATCAAAGCCCCATTTGGCCCCATGGTGTGGGCAGAAATGTAGGGTCCTGCTCTCAGGCTTGAACCTCCATAGTGGGAGAGACTGGACTGCTTGCTGTTTTGTTGGCACAAAGAAAATACAGTAAGCCTGTGAGGCTTGTCGCTGGAGGTGACTGTGGGGCGAGGGGCAGACTGAAGGGCAGCCCAGCAGCAGAGAACCATCTCCCCAGAGATTCTCACCCAGCTCCAGGTTCACTCCCAGGAGCCTGCTTCCCGGAGAGAAGTACCCAAGGCCAGCCTGTCTGTCTGTGGACGCCCCACACCCAGGAGGGCCCGGATTCCAGGGCCACGAAATCACACCCACAGGCCCACGGCTCACTCCTGGCTGCTCAGCAGTTTCAGGCCAGGTGAGGTCACCGTGACTGCCTTAAATAACTCAGCAGAGCTCATTTTTATTTTCGGTTGTTGGTTTAGCTGAGCAAGACAAGAAGAGTTCTCTTAAAAACACTTTTTAAAACGTCCCCTTTAAACAACAAGGTCCTACAGTACAGCACAGAGAACTATATTCAATATCCTATGAGAAACCATAATGGAAAAGAATATTTTAAAAAAGAATGTATGTATGTGTAAAACTAAATCACTTTGCTGTACAGTAGAAATTAACACAACATTGTAAATCAACTATACTTCAATTAAAAAAAAAAGAAAAATAGGAAACCAAAAAAGCCGTTCAGAATCTAAAAAAAAACTTCCCTTATTGTAAAAGAAATGTATGTGCAATATTAAAAAAAATTAGTTTTACAAAAAAATGTGTGACTTGGAAAGTCAAAGTCCCTTATGTGGTTCCACCCTCCATCAAAATTTTCTCTAAACCACCTGGTAAATATTCTTTCAGCTTCTTTTGCTCTATACACATACATTCGTGCGTGTGTGAATATGGGCGGGGGGTGGGGAGTGTATGTGGTGGTGTTTTCTATACTGACAGTTCTATAGCTTCTTTTGATTTTTTTCCCATTAACAGCTTTCTACTTAGAGGTATTCTTACCCCTGCAGCTCAAATTCAGGTTAACCCAGTGACCCAAGACCAGGCTGGGAGAAAAGGTGATGCCCCAGGGACTCAGAAGCCTGAGAGTTTCAAGTGAATGCGGTTGGGGAGCAGGGGAGAGGGACCCACGCTAAAACCCAGATCAGCCCTGGAGGAGAAAAGACCTCTCCCAGAAGAAATATCCCAGGACGGGGCGGGGGGGGGCGGGGGGCAGACTCCACACCGCTTATCTCCTCCCCAGCGGTGGCTGACAGCACAGCTGGCGCAGACAGGCTGCGGCACGAGGGTGGCCCGGGCGAGAGGCTGTCCCCGGAAGCTGCTGGGGCCACGGGAACACCCTGTACATTTCTGCTGACTTGGGCGCACAGGCTGGGTCACACCCAGCGTCAGAGCTCGGGAACCGGGTCCTGCGCCAGGGCAGAGCCCTGCGTGTGACATCCAGGAGAACAAGGGCAGCCTCAGGAAAAGCAGTCCTGTGTGCCAGGTCTGCTCACCTCCCCGGCCTCAGGGATCAGCAAACACGCCCATCAGCACTCTGCTCCTGGGAGCCTGCTCACACCAGACAGGTCACCGGCTGCACGATTCAACAGCCAAGAATTCCAAGCGATTGGAAATTGGTGGTCAGGGTCCTGGGCTACAGGGTCAGGATAAGGCTTCCAGAAAGGGAGAGCCCATTAAGTGCCCAGCAGCTTCCTGCAGCTCCAGGACAGACAGAGACAAACCCAGCTCTGCAATCGGGCTGCAGGTTTGCATCCTGGGCCCCCCAGGAACTGGCTGCAGTGGCTTATTGCTTCAGAACCCCCGTTTCCTTGCCTGCTAAGTAGAAGTAATACAGCTGGCAGCTCGAGCCTGCTAGACAATAAACACTCAGTGTTACCCACTACCATTATTACAACTGGCTGAGGGTACTCAAAAGAGAAGTAACTCCCTTGGGCACACGGAGACCTCCAGGACCACTGGGGCCACCTTCCTGGGCACAGCCAGGAACACAGCAGCCACCGTGCAGCCCGCACCTAGAGCAGGCCCCTGCACACAAGGGTGGTTTCCTTGTCCATGAACAGGGTACTCGGGGGCGGGGGGCAGGGGCAGGCAAAGGCTGAAGAAATGCAACCACCAGAGCCTCTGCAGCTATGGGGCCCCCAGACACCTCCATTTCTTCCTCTTCCTCCCCCAGGCCTAGAAAGGGATCCCCCCCATTACCTGATTGGGTCCTTGGCTCCCAGCTGGGGAAGGAGAAGGGACCGGCCTGGAGGCTCTGCAGGCTCTGCAGGCTCCACGTCTAGACGCTGCCGCCAGCTGGGGCTCAGCTCTGTGGGTGAGGGAGCTGCCGCCCCGAAATCTCTCTCTCGTGGACCACCCATCTGGAAGGGCTGGAGCTATGCTTTCTAAAGGAACCACAACTTGCTCTCGCTGGCCACGTGGGCCCTCAACTCACCCTGGTCAATGGACTCACCCTGGTCGATGGAGTGCTGGGGCAGCTGGCTGAGCTGGCTGCTGACCACCCCCGCGTAGGTGCGCAGGAACTCCTCCTCGCTGGCTGTCAGCTGCAGGGGCGAGAGGGCTGGGTGAAGGGTGGCCCGCACCCGCTCCCTGGGCCTCTGTTGTTGAGAACTGACCTTCTAGTTCCAGGGTGAGCACCCTCTCCCCTCTGCTCCCACCCCTGAAACTTGGTCCATCCCCAGGCCTTGGCACCGGGATCAGATCGGGGATGGGGATTCCAGCGTAGGGCAGGCCCTGCTTGGGGAGCCCCTCCCTCTCCTGTTGAGAAGGGCCACTGCACACCTGCTGCCCTCTCGGTGGCTGTCCTGCCCGCCGGTCACCACCGGAAGAGAAGACTCCCGGGAGAGGGGAGGAAAGGAAGGTCAGGGCCTTTAGGACCCTCACCCACTTGGCCCAAACATGGCACAGGGAGTACCATGCCGAACTGGACATGCTGGTGCCTGTGCCCGGGAGCCTGAATTAGCCACAGCCAAGCCAGAGGCCTGGCATCCCCATCCCCAGACCACAGCTGCTACAGAAGGTGGTTACAGCCCCTCTGCCCGTCGGCATCAGGCACCCTCCCTGGGAGGCCTGCTGCTTGATGCCCCGAAGGCACTCACGTTGGAGCCCATCTTCCTCAGCATGAGCAGCACTCGGACCTTCTGCTGAACGTACATCTCCTCCGGACTCTTCCCGGGGGCCCCCTCGCGGTTCATGCCCTGGCCAGCTCTGGGGACTCCTGCAGAGCGAGGAGAAGCATGGGGTGGGGCGGTGTCAGGACGAGACATACCCGCACACCGGCACGAGTTGTCAGGCCGCCCATGTTGCATCAGGGGCTCGTTTCTGAGAGCCCAGAGCAGGTGGCGAGCTGCCCGTTCCTCCCTCACGCCTGCTGGCCTGACAGCCAGACTGAGCAGGGATCTCCCCGGAGCAGGCACTGGTGGCCAGCCCCCTCTGTGTGTGGAGCTGTCAGGCCCAGGTGGCTGAGCTGACCCAGACTTCTTGCCAGCTCTACCTTCCAGCCACCCCTCAGCAAGACTCCTGCTATGAGCCCAGGAGATGTGCTGCATGAAACCCAAAGTGTCCCCGTCTTTCAAAGCCAGCAACTTCCATGAGGAGCAAAGTGACGTGATCAGAGGCAGCCGGCTGGGGCCTGTAGCTGGAGAAGCCAAGACAGCTCCCTCTGCAAAAGTCCCTGACGAGTTCAAGAGGCTGCCTCCTGGACTGGGCTCCAAGGAGTCCCTCGATGGGGACGGCGAGCCTGGGGCTGCGGGCACACACACCTGCCCGGGCTCGCTGCCGCCACCCTCACAAGCCCACCCACCTGTCACAGGGTGGCTCCTGCACGCGGCAGCTGCGTCCAGGTGCAGCAGGGACCCGACCTGCAGAAAGGTCCCAGGAGAGAAGTCCCAGGGTTTCCTCCCTCCAGGAGGAGCTGGGGGGGAGGAAGCCGGGCGTGGAGGGGTTTGGGTTACACACTTGTAACTCCTGGATGAGTCAGAAATAACGCAGCAGCTGGTGGGGGTGGAGCCCTGGCAGCCCTGGTGCCAAGGAGCTGCGCTCGGAGGACCAAGGGAGCCGGGCTTGCGGGCCAAGGACACTCCTCACACCGTCCATCCCTCAGGGGCCAGCAAGCCTTGGACCAGCAGGCTCTCCCAGGTGAAGGACAAACTCAGAAAGGCGCCAGAGCCCTGGGCAGCAGCCTCCCTGGAGGCTCCTGTCAACCGCTCAGTCCCCAGAAGCTAACAGGGGCTCCGGCCCTAAAAGCCTGAACAATAGGGCAAAATGTGTATTGCGTAGCAATGCAGCTGTGCACTCAATGCAGTGCCGTCTACTTACAGGGCCTTCCTTTCCACCACCAAAGCCCAGGCTCCCTCTTCTACTGTCTGCTATCCTGTCACCTCCTCCTGGTTCAGAAAAGGGTCTAATTAACACTGGTAACCAGGAAGGAGGAGTGAGCTGCCTGCAGAATGACCTCTGGTGAGAGGCAGCCAGCCGTCCCCTGGGGCCAGGTGCAAGAGCGGAGCGGACAGCCCTCAGTTCCCAGCACAGCTGAGTGGGGAGGCTCGGTTCTGGGGGATCACTCCTCCTCCTGTCCAACCCTTCTCACTTCCTTCCACTCCACCACCCAGCGCAAGTAGCCGGAATGATCTTTTTATTTTTTTAATTTTTATTTATTTATTTTTTTTATAAGTTGTGTGTGTTGGTTTTTTTTAATTTTTTTGTTTTATTTATTTTTTTATACAGCAGGTTCTTATTAGTCATCAATTTTATACACATCAGTATATACCTGTCCATCCCAACCACCCAATTCAGCACACCACCATCCCCACCCCGCTGTGGCTTTCCCCCCTTGGTGTCCATACGTTTGTTCTCTACATCTGTGTCTCAACTTCTGCCCTGTAAACTGGTTCATCTGTACCATTTTTCTAGGTTCCACATACATGCGTTAGTATACGATATTTGTTTTTCTCTTTCTGACTTACTTCACTCTGTATGACAGTCTCTAGATCCATCCACGTCTCAACAAATGACTCAATTTCGTTCCTTTTTATGGCTGAGTAATATTCCATTGTATATGTGTACCACAACTTCTTATTTTTTTTTTTTTTTTTTGCTGTACGCAGGCCTCTCACTGTTGTGGCCTCTCCCGTTGCAGAGCACAGGCTCCGGACATGCAGGCTCAGCAGCCATGGCTCACGGGCCTAGCTGCTCCACGGCATGTGGTATCTTCCCGGACCGGGGCACAAACCCATGTCCCCTGCATCGGCAGGCAGACCCTCAACCACTGCGCCACCACGGAAGCCCACCACAACTTCTTTATCCATTCGCCTGTGGATGGGCATTTAGGTTGCTTCCATGTCCTGGCTATTGTAAATAGTGCTGCAGTGAACATTGGGGTGCATGTGTCTTTTTGAATTACGGTTTTCTCTGGGTATATGCCCAGTAGTGGGATTGCTGGATCATATGGTAATTCTATTTTTACTTTTTTAAGGAAACTCCATACTGTTCTCCATAGTGGCTGTATCAATTTACATTCCCACCAACGGTGAAACAGGGTTCCCTTTTCTCCACACCCTCTCCAGCATTTGTTGTTTGTAGATTTTCTGATGATGCCCATTCCAACTGGTGTGAGGTGATAACTCATTGTAGTTTTGATTTGCATTTCTCTAATAATTAGTGATGTTGAGCAGCTTTTCGTGTGCTTCTTGGCCATCTGTATGTCTTCTTTGGAGAAATGTCTATTTAGGTCTTCTGCCCATTTTTGGATTGGGTTGTTTCTTTAATATTGACTGCATTAGCTGTTTATATATTTTGGAGATTAATCCTTTGTCCGTTGATTCGTTTGCAAATATTTTCTCCCATTCTGAGGGTTGTTTTTTCATCTTGTTTATGGTTTCCTTTGCTGTGCAAAAGCTTTGAAGTTTCGTTAGGTCCCATGTGTTTATCTTTGTTTTTATTTCCATTACTCTAGGAGGTGGATCAAAAAAGATCTTGCTGTGATTTATGTCAAAGAGTGTTCTTCTTATGTTTTCCTCTAAGAGTTTTATCGTGTCTGGTCTTACATTTAGGTCACGAACCCATTTTGAGTTTATTTTTGTGTATGGGTTAGGGAGTGTTCTAATTTCATTCTTTTACATGTAGCTGTCCAGTTTTCCCAGCACCACTTATTGAAGTGACTGTCTTTTCTCCATTGTATATATATCCTTGCCTCCTTTGTCATAGATTAGTTGACCATAGGTGCGTGGGTTTATCTCTGGGCTTTCTATCTTGTTCCATTGATCTATATTTCTGTTTTTGTGCCAGTACCATAATGTCTTGATTACTGTAGCTTCGTAGTATAGTCTGAAGTCAGGGAGTCTGATTCCTCCAGCTCCGTTTTTTTCCCTCAAGACTGCTTTGGCTATTCGGGGTCTTTTGTGTCTCCATTCAAATTTTAAGATTTTTTGTTCTAGTTCTGTAAAAAATGCTATTGGTAGTTTGATAGGGATTGCACTGAATCTGTAGATTGCTTTGGGTAGTAGAGTCATTTTCACAATATTGATTCTTCCAATCCAAGAACATGGTATATCTCTCCATCTATTGGTATCATCTTTAATTTCTTTCATCAGTGTCTTATAGTTTTCTGCATACAGGTCTTTTGTCTCCCTAGGTAGGTTTATTCCTAGGTATTTTATTCTTTTTGTTGCAATGGTAAATGGGAGTGTTTCCTTAATTTCTCTTTCAGATTTTTCATCATTAGTGCATAGGAATGCAAGAGATTTCTGTGCATTAATTTTGTATCCTGCAACTTTACCAAATTCATTGATTAGCTCTAGTAGTTTTCTGGTGGCATTTTAAGGATTCTCTATGTATAGTATCATGTCATCTGCAAACAGTGACAGTTTTACTTCTTCTTTTCCAATTTGTATTCCTTTTATTTCTTTTTCTTCTCTGATTGCCACAGCTAGGACTTCCAAAACTATGTTGAATAAGAGTGGTGAGAGTGGCATCATTGTCTTGCTCCTGATCTTAGAGGAAATGCTTTCAGTTTTTCACCATTCAGAACGATGTTTGCTCTGGGTTTGTCATATATGGCCTTTATTATGTTGAGGTAGGTTCCCTATATGCCTACTTTCTGGAGAGTTTTTATCATAAATCGGTGTTGAATTTTGTCAAAAGCTTTTTCTGCATCTATTGAAATGACCATATGGTTTTTGCTTTCTCAATTTGTTAATATGGTGTATCACATTGATTGATTTGTGTATATTGAAGAATCCTTGCATCCCTGGGATAAATCCCACTTGATCATGGTGTATGATCCTTTTAATGTGTTGTTGGATTCTGTTTGCTAGTATTTTGTTGAGGATTTTTGCATTTATATTCATCAGCGATACTGGTCTGTAATTTTCTTTTTTTGTAGTATCTTTGTCTGGTTTTGGTAACAGGGTAATGGTGGCCTCATAGAATGAGTTTGGGAGTGTTCCATCCTCTGCAATTTTTTGGAAGAGTTTGAGAAGGATGAGTGTTAGCTCTTCTCTAAATGTTTGACAGAATTCACCTGTGAAGCCATCTGGTCATGGCTTTGTTTGTTGGAAGATTTTTAATCACAGTTTGTTGGAAGATTTTTAATCACAGTTTCAATTTCATTACTTGTGATTGGTCTGTTCATATTTTCTGTTTCTTCCTGGTTCAGTCTTGAACGGTTATACCTTTCTAAGAATTTTTCCATTTCTTCCAGGTTGTCCAATTTATTGGCATAGAGTTGCCTGTAGTAGTCTCTTAGGATGCTTTGTATTTCTGCGGTGTCTGTTGTAACTTCTCCTTTTTCATTTCTAATTTTATTGATTTGAGTCCTCTCCCTCTTTTTCTTTTTTATAAATCTATTTTATTTATTTATTTTTGGCTATGTTGGGTCTTCGTTGCTGCATGCAGGCTTTCTCTAGTTGCGGCGAGTGGGGACTACTCTTTGCTGTGGTGTGTGGGCTTCTCATTGCGGTGGCTTCTCTTGTTGCGGAGCACGGGCTCTAGGTGCCTGGGCTTCAGTAGTTGTGGCACGCAGGCTCAGTATTTGTGACTCGTGGGCTCTAGAGCGCAGACTCAGTAGTTGTGGCGCACGGGCTTAGTTGCTCCGCGGCATGTGGGATCTTCCCAGACCAGGGCACGGACCTGCATCCCCTGCACTGGCAAGCAGATTCTTAACCACTGCGCCGCCAGGGAAGCCCCCTCTTTTTCTTGATGAGTCTGGCTAATGGTTTG